CACCGCCGCTCCATTATCCACCAAGACTCGGTTTAACTGAACCCCATCGAAGAAGGCCTTAATGTACAAAGGCTTAACATGCTGCGTCATGGAATTCGAGGGATATTCGAATGGATACTAGAGGTTAATGCTTACCACTTCTTCGCTCTCATATTCAGCTTCCATTGGGGTAACCATTCCGAAATTATCTTGTACCATACTCGCTTGTGAATCTTCACTAGAGATCGGAATTGGATCAGCTTCCTGCCCCTCTTGATTCTCATCACCAGCTTGGAATTCCTGTGGTAGTATGTGTACCATGTTCACTGATACCGGGGGAAACAAGCCAAACTGGATGGCTGGCTGTACCTGTTTCCCCTCTTGGTCACCTTGGTTAATTACCTCAGAAACATCCTGCATGCTACATTCTGGTATTTCATTGCTAACGGGTCCCTTCGAATGATTTTCCTCGGCTGGTTTTCCAACCAGAAATGTTTGCTCGGCCATGAAAGTTTCGAACATTTCTTCTTCCACCATTTCTTTCTTCTGGCTTACGCCAATATCTTCTTCCGTTTCGCTACCACTCTCCATCAGAGCTTTCTCCAACCCTGCTAGGCTTTCCTTCTCTCTGACTTTCAGTTCAGAATGAACCTTGGCCAACTGTTCTCTGCTGCGATCCACCTCATTTTGTATAACTGGCTTTGGATTACAGTCTGACTTTCGATTCTTCTTTTCTCCAGTCTGGATCAACGAAGAACTCTCTCCACTTTCTTTCAGGTCTTTCTGGTATTGGGTGTACCTACACTGAATTTTCCTCCTTTGTGATCTGGAAATAACGGGGACCATATCTGGTTCCCTCGTTCTTAGGTGTTTCAGCAATACCCAGTTGTTGGGGGCCACCAAAGGAGGCTTAACCATCCTACTTTGATTTCCAAAATTCCTTTGGGTAGGCATTTCCCTAGGTTTGTTTTGCATCACAAACCAATCTGGGACTCCAGGTACCCACGAACTTACTGACCCAGACGTTGAACTGCCTCTTTCTTCTTTCGAGGTCACCTTCGAGGCTGGCTGTGAAGACAATTGTTTGGCCCTGTCTCTAAGCTTTGAGCCTGATTCAGGCTCTCGATGAGGGTGATCATTTTCTGTCCTTCGTGAAGCTGGCCCAGGGGGCCAATTCCTGGCTTTGATCCTAAAACCTGAACTCTTCTCCAGTCTTCTTTCAGAATGACTACTCTCCATCCTGTAATAGTTAGGTGACCTGGCCTCATATAAGGGCCTCTTGCCTTTAGCATGCATCTTATCAACTGCAGGTTCAACCACTAATGGCTGCCGCCTAACATTAGCCGGATACGGCCTTTTATTATAAGCGTTGGTTGGTTTGGGACGCCTCTGCACATCCCTGTAATACTGCTTCCCATCAACTGGAAGGCCTTTCAACCACTTATAACTCAGTCTACACCTGGGACACATTCTTTGCATTACGGCTGCCTCTAAGGAATCATCATCCAGTGCTTCTTCATCAGAGTCTTCCATCTGATGTGAGAAATCTCGTCCCATAGCTGGTGGACTCTTAATGTCTTTTTTGGTTGCTGTCTGGTTAGCCACATACATCTGTACATTGACTTTCTCCAATTCTTTCAAAGACAGGTTCTGAAAGTCTGACATAATGACATTGGCTGCCACCTCTCCAATTTCTGGAAATGGATTGCTATCGATCCCCATGGCTTTTTCAACTTTGGCTGGGAACTTCAAACTCTCTTTTCGAATTTGTTCTTGGATCCTGTCTCGAAAAACAACACAGTTTTTAGTCGAGTGAGACCAAGAATTATGCCATTTACAATATATTTTTCCTTTAAGTTCATCAAGAGATGGAATTTTAACCCCTTTTGGTAACTTAAGGAAGTTGGCCGCAAGCAAATGATCAAAAATGTCATCTGCCTTAGTTAAATCGAAATAATATTTCCTGTGGAGATCTTTCTTTTTAAACTGCTAGTCAATTGTCGTATCTTTATGAATTAATGCTTCACAGATCATAGGCTTTTTTCCCACAATCTTTGCGGCATCAATCTCATAATTAGGATCTTTGTAGTATGTCCTATATGATGCATTATTTCGATCCTGTTCCTCTTCTAGTAATGTTTCATATCTAGATACTTTATAAGTCAGTTCCACTAAATCTCTAAACTCTGTTGAATCGAACTTCTTTCGAAGCCTGAACTTTAGGCCATTTTGAGCCAATCTTACGAATTCCGTTTCTGGCAAGATTACTCTACATTTATTTCGAGCCCTCTTAAATCTAGAAATAAACTGAGTAGCCTTCTCTTCAGGCCTTTGACTCAATCTTGCCAAATCTGCCATGGAAACTTCTGGCTTAGATTGGAAGAATTGGGCATGAAATGCCTCTTCCATTTGCTGCCAAGTCTGGATGGAGCCAGGTGGAAGATTAATGTACCATACAAACGCTCCCCCAGTTAAACAATTCGGGAATAGTCTCAATTTCATATAATCATGATTGGTAAATTCACCACATTGAGCGGCAAACCTAGCAATATGCTCTATTGTCGATTGGTTTCCGTTCCCATGAAAGAGGACAAAATCTGGTACCCTGAAACCTCTTGGATATTCATGTACCCTATCGACCCATTCTGGGTATGGTTTTCTATACACAGGAGTTTGGACCCCCCGAGCCATTGGCCCACACAACTCCCTAACTATCTCAGTAATTTGGTCCCTATGGACCATATTTTGTACTTGCTGAACCACTACTGGGGGAACAAACACAGGATTTGGCGGACAAACTTGTGCTTGTGGTCCCCTTGGTCCATAAGGTAGTACATTCGGGACTGGCTGTCCCTGTGGTACAGGCTACTGTTGGGGGTGTAAGTAACCTCTTTGAGCCTGTCCTACGAAAGGACCCACGAAAGGTGCTGGAACAGGTATTATATCCCTTCCACTTGTAAGGAAACCTTCCAACCCCCCGTGTATAAATTCGAATAAGGGATTATTGTACCCCCTAGTTCCAGGTAAGGCTTCGAATGTGGGATTTGGAATCATTCTTATGCCATTTTCTTGTATTGGGCCAGATCCACCAATTTGCATGGCTTCACTGTTAAACATTGAGGCATTCTGGCCTGCCACAGGCCTCGAAATGGTTTCGTACCAAGACTGAGGTGATAATCTTTCATGAATCTGATTACTGGTTTGACCATTGGAATGTCCATTAGCTTGCATAGGCTGTCTAGCCAATCTTTGTTGAGGGACATTTACTTCCTCCATGTGTCTTACATTTGTTGGTTGGTGGTTATTCATTCGATCCAAAAAGGATACTGCCCACCTTTCCATTGTGTTTATTAATTGCTGTCCCATAGCATCTACTAAGCCGCCCCACGGGTTGACTGGCTGGGTAGATGGGACACTAGATGGTCCAATTCCTTGGTCTCGTCCACTATTACGAACAAATGGTATTTGCTCTGAAGTATTGGTCTGTTCGACCATGGGGCTTTGGTCCATGAATTCATCTTGTTTTTGAAAGAATTGGCTCTTTGGAGCATGTATTAGAAGCTTTGAGTTCATTAGAACACTTGCATGTTACATAATTCGTGTTCTTGAAGTTTATTTAAAAATTGTGTTTAATTGAACTACCTTTGGGCTTTGATTTCTCAAATTGACCTTTGAAACATGTAATATTATGGGTTTTGAAGTGTTTTTTAGAAAATTAGCCCAAGAGGATCAAATTTGATGCTTTGGTTTTTTCGGCCTCAATAAAGAGGACTTTTACTGGTGGCTTACTGGTAATTTGACTTCAGAGAACTTGAGCATAAGAACAGTTAAATAAACTGAAGCATTTCATTAGTATGAAAAACTTACAATGATCTTAGTTCCGTAGAGAATTACAGCGGCAATATACTCGAAAACTACTCCTACAAATGAAGTGCAGCGCAGGAACTTAAAGTACAGAAATGTAAAGGACAGGAAATAACACTGGAATATGTAAAGTAAGACTGGTTTTCTTTTGATCTTTCTTTTTTTTTTTTCTTTTTCTGAAGTCTTTCCTGCTATTTATACTCTCCGAAGATAACTATCGAATTGTACTTCAAACCGTCGAACTGCTCCTCCGTAATCGCTGATCATGCTACCTTATAAGTAGTTCCACTGCGCCTTCACTTGCAGTTAGGCTTCCCCCCTATATTCGAATTTGAATGTAAGCAACCGTTGAAGCCACGTCACCGTACATTTCTTTGTTGATCCGCTACTACTCAGATCTTATAACAACCAATATTAACTGCCGCGTGTATGGTCAGGACCGAAGACCTGCCTGGTCTCCCCATATTACCCTTACTTTACCACGCGTCGAATTGTCACTGACTAGTACAAAATGTGTAACCAACAATAATACAATTACAAATTGTAATGGTTGGGAAAAAAAAATGTAATAGATGTAGCACCTCCTCCAACTATTAAATTTTTTATTTTTTGTACTCAATTATGAGAAAGTATACTTTTGTATGCATGAGGTGAAAGCACAAATTTTCATCAAAGCATACTATTTGTTGAAAAATTGATCAAATGGATTAAATATTTTAATGTGATCATGTGCCTGTTTAGTGGCACAGAGTCATGTAGTCAATTTGTTGTTTTATTTTAATACATTTTTAATTATTAAACTATATATTAAAAAATTTAAATAAAAAAATTTAAAACATAAAACAAATGCATTAAAAACAAATAAAAAAAGAAAAATAAAAATAAAATTCAGTGGCTCTGCGAAAGCGAACCCCAAATAAGGCGGAGTGGGGGTTATCAAGTGGAACAGCGACACGCGACACCCGATGGGTCATTTTTCTCTGTTGGCCCAAAAAGCAGACTGTCCCTCACTGGACCCTCTCCCCAACCAAACCCCTCCACGTCACTTTGAAAGTCCTACCTGTGAAGCCCACATAGAGAATCTCTCTCTCTCTCTCTCTGTCCCACCCACCCACGGAAAGCAAAGGTATACACAGTACACCCAACACTCCCTCTCTCTCACGCACACTACTACCCTCTCTCTCTCTCTCTCTCTCTCTCTCTCTCTCTCTCATGGCCAGTCGGCCGTATCCAAACTAGCCCTTGAGTTGTCGGCGACGGCTAGTCACCGGAATCTGACCTACTTGGGGTTCGGAAAGTTGGAAACCCTAGGTCAGCTCATAAAATACTCTTTGATTTCTTGTTTGTTGTATATGCTTTGGCAGGCTAGATTCCTTCCAAAAACATATACTGTATTTGTATTGGATTGGAGATCTCAAGTTGAGGGCTTCAGATCGTGAGAATGTATGTGGTTCCTCCTCCGAAGCACTCAGATCCGCTATCCGGATCCACTAGTGTCTCCGATGATTTACGAATTTACCAGGCATGGAAAGGCAGCAATGTAAGTTTCTCTCTATTTTCCAGGGTTTCCTTTCATTCCCCCCTTTTCACTTGCCGTTTTATTTGTTTACTAGCTTAAAGTCCACTTCTTTTTTTTTTTTTTTTTTTGGTAGCTGCTTTTGCTATGTTTTGTACTCAAATCACAAATCTTGTCAAGTAAAATCTCTCTCTCTCTCTCTCTCTCTCTCTCTCTCTCTCTGGTGACAAAATTCTGATGTAACCAAAAGTTGATCGTAGATTTTGAAGAATGGGGACTTTGGGGGGTTATAACTATATATATATATTTGTGATTACATATGCAATTATTGGTTCTGCATCAGTATTTGAACGAGGGTTTTGCAGCTCGGCTCTGATTGATTTTGTTAAATGTATATGTTTTTTGTTAAAACTGGACTGAAAGCTTGTACTTTTATTTTGTTGTGTTGTGTTCTGTTTTGCTACTTTTGTTTGTTTCTTGGACTGAGATAAAACTAATTCTTGGATAAAGCTGTTATCCAGTGCTGAATGCTTATACACTTCATTAATGAAGCAAGTTGGGAAACTATTAAAATGGGTTTCCTGAGACTACACAAACAATTTGGTAGCATATTTTACAGAGAGCTTGTAGCATGTGTTTTTTTTTTTTTTGGTTCTTTTTGAATACCTTATTGGTTTCATTAGGATATTATTAATTGTCTTGTTACTTGTGTGATTGCAGATATTCTTTCTTCAGGGACGGTTTATATTTGGACCGGATGTAAGGTCGCTGTTGCTGACCATATTCCTCATTGTTGCTCCTGTCACAATTTTCTGTGTGTTTGTTGCTAGAAAATTGATGGATGATCTCTCTAACCATTTGGGAATATCAATTATGGTTGTGGCTGTTGTCTTCACCTTTTATGTGAGTCCCTCTCTAGTGTTTCCCACTCTCTCAATCACTCACATGCATGCAAGGATGCCGGCACAAAGTTCTTAAAGAATTAATTGCCACATCTTACATTTATGATTTCTCTTGTATATTCTTTTTGTTGTCAAATATCCTGTCAAATAGCAATTTACTGTGGATGCTTGGTACTTACGAGGCAGAACCAATCTTGACTGCTAAATATTATGTTTCTTGTTGCTTATTTATCTGTTGTGGATACACAAAAAATTCATTGTTCTTTTGCGTCATATTTTGGAATTTTCCCCATAAGTAAGAATAGAGAGAGAAGAGTTAACTGCATATTTCTTATAGTTATTTGTGGTGATGGAAAGGTGGCTACTAAGCCTAATGTGTGTCGGCAAAACGTTTTCAAATTAGTGATTATAACTTATAAGGGTGGCAAAAAATCAGTTCAAAGTGGAGAAACTTATTTTCCCAATGCATCTAGCATGTCTAGTTCCATCCCAACCACATCTAATAGTCACTAAGCCAATTCTCCATAGTTGGAAGATGTTTAGCATTATTATTTCTGTCAAGGGACATTTTTTGTATTGGTACTATTTAGATTTACTCGTGTCTGAACCTGACTTCAATCTTTAAGTTTATAGATTGTAATATATGAGGGCATACTCACAGAGTTAAGTGATTACAATACGAAATGTGGAGGGTTATAATGCTTGTGAATTTTTGAATGGGCGTATTGTCTAATAAAGTATACTTGGCTAGAGTATTTTGTCCCCTCTAAAATAAAGCATCAATATTGAAAGCCAGTAGAATAGGGGACATAGATGGCAAGATGCATGCAACATTTTGGTCCCTTAAGGGGTTGTTTGGGATGATTTAAATAAGTGCACTTTTTGACTTTTTATGAAATATGGGTTGGGTTTGGGTTGGGTTTGAAGTGATGTGTTAGAGAGGTGATATGACTTAAATAAGATGATGTGACTTAAATAAGATAGTGATTTTTTGACTTTTTGTCTTTTTCAAGACATGCCAAACTTGGCCTAAATCTGTTTGTCTACATTCCCTTTTCTCCAATGTCCTATACTCCTATTTTTGGCATAGAGCGTAGTTATAATGTTTTTCTCCTCCATTCAAATTTAAATAAATGCATTTTAGCTGGTTGCTTAGTCTTAACAGATAAAGCAAGATTCCTTTTTCCAAAAATTGTCGTACTGGATGTGCTTGTTAGTATTTTAAACTATCAACAGATTTGTTCTTCTATCTGGAAGTGGATTTGTAAATCTTTCTCTCACATAAAATATCCCATTCTATCATGGCTGTCCAACTTTTGTAAAAATTCTGCCTTTGGGAAGGAGAGCTGCGTTTATTGATAGGCTGTCAGTGAATTTATAATAGGCTGGCTTTAATTTTATTATGTAGTCTCCTGTTAACCACAGTTAACAGTTGAGATATGGAAGGAACAGGTTGAGTTTACTTGACGCATTGTGTACCTGACCTACGTGCTAGCATGGAGGGACAGGCAGCACATATTTGGTGGTTTTGATTGATTCAACTGTCGAAGTTCAGGCCAATCCATGTTTTAGAGCCACTAATTGAGCATTTCTATGGACATATTACAGCAGATCTCCAATTTGCACCATTTCATTGGCATTGTAGTATGGACAGAAACCCCAAATCAAGAGCCAATATGCATTGGTTGGCTTGGTTTTTGGATCTCTGGATGGCCAATGTGAGAATTTCCATTGACATAGTAGAAAAAGTATAGAAGGCTACCACATCATTTTGGTCATCAGACTCATCAGTATTAACCAGCTTACGTAGGTGTCCAGTATTAATAAGTTTTCAAACAACCCTTGGAACTTTAAAAGGAAAAGAAATTGTGACTTGAACTCTAACCTGGTAAATGTATTGGGCTTTTCAGGTTTTAGTTCTTCTATTGCTAACATCGGGAAGAGATCCTGGCATCATTCCTCGTAATGCTCACCCTCCAGAACCAGAAGGCTATGATGGGAGTGCAGATGGTGGTGGCCAAACCCCACAGCTGCGATTGCCTCGCATTAAGGAAGTAGAGGTGAATGGAATTACGGTGAAGATTAAGTATTGTGATACCTGCATGCTATATAGACCTCCACGCTGCTCCCACTGTTCAATCTGCAACAATTGTGTCGAACGATTTGACCACCACTGCCCTTGGGTTGGTCAATGTATTGGGCTGGTAAGAAACACGTTCTTGTAAAATTATTCAGTATGTATTGGTAGTTGATGGCCATACAGTTGTGCTCTTTCTGTCATGTTATGCAATATGAAATTCTTTTACTGGAATAATCATTGAGTTGGACGAAGTCCAATGAGCTGAGCATGTCTGAAGAGGATTTTTTCTTTTTCTTTTTCTTTTTCTTTTTGAGACTATCCTAAATCAATAATTCAATAAATATAGGAATTCATCTGGACAGTTCCAATTTTGAGGTCCTCATACACTATTTGTTCACTACAACTAGACAGTTTTGAAGTGCTAGACCTTACATTAATTAATCCTGACAGTCTTGAGAAAAGATGCATAGAAGAAATTTGAAAATCTTCGTAGGACTTAATGATTCACGTGTTTTCCCCTCTATGACTAGTTTTACATTCTCATCCACGTGCACAATTCCTTGCTTCCCTTTCCTAAGCATATATGCATATGCAAATGCAATCTCTAAGCTGAAAGTTCTTGCAATCACTGAAGATTGGTCTCCGACCTTTTGGTTGTGCCCAAAAGAAGTTTCCCTTGCATGTCCTGCTAATATTGCACCAAACGCACTCCACTTATGAGGACAAAGTCACCAAACCCTTGCTTTTTGGTGTGAAGCTGCATTCTGCGTCTGTATGTGTTTAAATTCTTTTGGAAGATTTTTGACTTCATAGAGCGAGTGGTACAGCCTAACTAGGTTGCTCCTGACGAGAGAAAGATCTTGGAAAATATAGCTGATTTTCTTGGTGTCTGAATTTCTCATGAGGCAGTAATACTTCAATTTGAAAATTTTGAATCCCCGGAATTTTCTTTTCTTATTGCTTCATTTTTGTAATTGGGATAGGAATGTCTATTACCTTACAAACATTAGGAACAACTGGAATTAGGTTCAAGTTTCTTGTGGAATCTGAGTTAATATTGCCCAGAAAAGGAAATTAATTAACAATTTCCCAATAAACCTAATTAACTGCTAGAAACCATTACAACTCCGATCAATAATATTTTTCTAAACAGTAGAAACCAAGTTCTTCTGCTTGAATTTTTTTTTTTTTTTTAAATTCCTTGGATTTCTCTCTATACTTTTCCCCAGGCTTGTCTTGCTTCTTAATTTGATAAATATTTTGTTCTGCCTGTACATCTGTACCCTAAACTTTTACGTTGTTAGAATGATGCTGTTCAAAATACTAGATGTGGAAGTTTTTGTTATGATTTCATGTTTTTCCCACTTTTTGTCCTCATCTATGATTGCAGTAATCCTTTAACTTTCTGATTGCATAGACATTTAATTAACCCCAACCATTGACCCTTCTTGGTGCAGCGGAATTATCGATTCTTCTTCATGTTTGTCTTCTCGACAACTATTCTTTGTATATATGTTTTTAGCTTTTGCTGGGTTTACATTAAGAAGATTATGGATTCAGAGGAGACAACAATATGGAAAGCAATGATCAAGTCCCCTGCTTCCATTGTGCTAATAGTTTATACCTTTATATCAGTGTGGTTTGTTGGTGGCCTTACTGCTTTCCATTTCTATCTCATCAGTACAAATCAGGTAAATAACAAATTTTTTCCCCTCGGCTTTACATTAAATTTTCTTTTCTAAATAACAAGAAATATCTTTGTGCCTTGTTTTTGCAGACTACTTATGAGAATTTCAGATATCGTTACGATCGGCGAGCCAACCCCTATAATAAAGGAGTGATGGAGAACTTCAAGGAGATTTTCTGCAGCAGTATCTCTCCATCCAAGAACAGTTTCAGGGCAAAGGTACAAAGGGAACCAGCGTTACCGGCTCGATCGGTGGGTTGCGGTTTTGTTAGTCCAAACATGGGGAAAGCCGTGGACGACATAGAAATGGGGAGGAAAGCGGTTTGGGGAGATGTAGGGGCTGGGTTAGATCGTTGTGAAGTGCAACTTAGCAGCAATGATGGCTTGAATATTATTAAGGATGGTGGGGTAGGCGCAATGTCTCCAGATATAAGGACTACTGTTGATGAGGGGGATCGTGCTGGAATACATCCAAGGCGGTCGAGTTGGGGCAGGAAAAGTGGAAGCTGGGAAATGTCTCCTGAAGTTCTTGCTTTGGCGTCTAGAGTTGGGGAACAAAACCGTACAGTTGGAAGCAGTAGTAGCAGCTTGACAACTTCGAGACTGGCGGAACCAAAGCTGTGATAAATGGATAGAGGAAGTGGAGAGAGTAGTTGAATGGTGAGTCTGAAGCAGGTTGTTTGAGGTCTGATGCTTGGTGGTTCAAATTCCACAGTATTTTTCTGCATTATGCGGGGACTTGCTTTGACAGGGTTGGGTCTTTAGAAGAATTTCTGCGCTTAGGAAGTAAGTGGTGTGGGTTTTCTGTAAGAGTTGCTTTCTACTTTCTTTGTTTTGTATTTGTATTTGTGGAATTAGTGTCTAGTTGTGATCTCTCTCTCCTCTCTCTCTCCGCTAATCAATTAACTTGGTCAGTATGCTCTTTATTAGTTTGCCCATGGTGTACATCGGTTCTCATGTGTTAGTACATAAACTTATGTGTTGGTTCTCAATATGCTCAAACCAAGCCACCTTCTGGAGTGAGATGGATTGCCAGGTTGAATTGTGTTCGGTGATGCACCATTTGAGTATGTTGGTGCAATATTCAGGAGTCGAATGATGTGCAAGCTTTTTCCCTTTGCGTTGGTATATAGGACTGTTCTTAGGCTTAAAATTTTTTTTCTTGTTTTTTTGTAGCGTGTGTGACGTGTGTTTCCCATTTTAGTCAGAATGATTTTTGGGAGGAGGAAGTTGCTGTATTGTGGACATTGGCTTAAAAAATCGTTTATTAAAAAGTTGTGGCTAAAATAGTGATGCCTTTGGCAACCAACAAAAACAGAGTTTTTGTGAAAAAAATGTTAGTATTTTGTGGAGTTCTTGGTCTTTGTTCACTAGGAAAGTTCTTGTTAGGAGTTTTGTCTGATCAAAAAAAAAAAGGCTTAAAAACCTGTCTCAAAGAAGTTTCTTGTTTTCCTATTATTTCTTTAATGCCTGTTTTTCAATTATTTGTTTGGATGTTTTTACTTATAAAAATAGAGTGCTCCTATTAACACTTGTCTTTCTTCTTTGGACCTCCAACTCTTTTATTTTTTTTAATTCTAATTGGTTAAACATGAAATTTCATTTTTATCTTCATCCCTAATCTTATAACTGTAATTTTTCATACCCAAATCCTAGCCATTCCCATCACCTTCGGCCGCTGCTGTTGCCTGCCTTTCTTGTCACTGTTTGCCACTGTCGCAACCACCACTTCTTTCATCACAACTAGCCACCACCTCCATCGAGAATCACCCTCAGCCTTTCTTCCACCATTGCAGCCCATCTTCTAACCCTTCGTTGCAACTGTAAATCTATCTGTTACTGTAACCTATCTCCACCACCTTTGCTAACAAATAGCCCTTATTCTTCTTTTTCTTGTTGCAAAACCGTAGACCAACCATTGCGTCACCATCATTTTTGTCGTGTCGCCATCTTCTCCATTTCTCTCTCTCGCTTGATCTCATCTTCGTCGCCATGGTTTCCTCCATCTCTCTCTCGCGATGGCTAGGGTTTGGCGCAAAGAGTTACGAAGAGAAGAAGATGGTGGTGGTGGGTAGTGATGGCAGCGACACAGTGGTGGAAAAGAGGAAGAAAAAAAAGTAGAAAAAGGAGAGGGCTCAATGGTGGAAGAAGAAGAAGAATGGTTAGATGTGGTGCCGGAGGTGGTGGTCAAGAGTAGGGGCAAGGTTTTGGGTTTGGGTTTGGGTTTGGGTCTGGATTTGGGATTAGGGGTATAGTTAGGCCTCGTTTGGGAACCTTTCCTTTTAGCCAAAAAGTCAAAAAGTTACTAAATTAGCCAAAAAGCAACAATCCATACCAAAAAGTCAAAGATTCTCTTTTCTCTCTACTTTTTGCACATCTTTTCGTAAAAAGCCAAAAAGTCATCCCAAACATACTAGTTTTTTTTAGTTCATATTTTAACCAAATAGTCAAAAAGTTACTAAATTAGCCTTTTCCCAAACGAGGCCTTAGTATTAAAGTGAGAGTTCAAAAAGAAAAATGAGGGGATTCATTTTGCTAGTATGAGAGGGCTAAAATAAAGAGATAGGTACTAATAGTAGTTCTTTAAAAATAAAAAATGGTTCAAATTTGTAAAGAAAAAAAAAATACTAAAAACAAAAATTTATGTTGATATTTTAATGTAATAAAATTGACCTATTTTCATTGAATTCCCCCCTTCCCAGTTTTTATCATTTTTTTAAGAAATTTAAAATATTTTCTAGTATAAAAGCACTAAAAAAAGGTAGGAATTTTTTTTAAAAAAAATTCACTGGTGACCGATAAAATCCCTCAAAAAAGCAGGACTAAATGAAAAAAAAAGAGAAAAAAAGTACCATCATTTGTACGAGTTCTTTTTACTGATTTTGAAGGACCGTGCTAGGGAGCTCGAAAATGAGCTCCTCCGAATCCCCCTAATTTCCTTTTTTTTTTTTTTACAGCGGAAGAAGCAAGAAGAAGACGAAGAGGGGGAGGGGGAGGGGGAGAGGGAGGGGGAAGAAGGACTGGAGGGGGCCTAAAAAATGGGCTGGAGGCGGAGGCGGGCGGAGGGCTCGGCTGGGCCGATGACCGGCGGGCGGACGAGCTCGGCTGGGCGACGAGCTCTTCCTCTCCCTCTTCCCTCTCCTTCTTCCCTCTCCCTCTCTTTCTCTCCCTCTTCCTCTGCTCTGCGTTCAAAAATGGCGGAAAAAAAGAAAAAGAAAAAAAAAAACCTAAAGCCCAAAACGACGTCGTTTTGGACTTTAGGGGGATTCGGGGCCGAAATCCTCGAGCTACCAACCTTTATCCGATTTTGAAATGGGAGGCCAGTGTCCAATGGTGATAAAAGTAAAATAGTCCATGCCCCAAGGTGCATTATTTTAGGGGTGATGTTAGGAACCAGTAAAAGTACTATTATAACCAATGACGTAAAATTATTTTTTTCTTTTTAAAATATAAATACAAAATTTACTGTCACATCATTAATAATGATACTTAATTAGTGTTCTCAATCATTTTTTTTTTTTATTTTAACCTCTGTTAAACTAAAAAAGTTCCATATCAATTTTTTTCACATCAGCCGAAGTTAACTCTCGTATATCTAGTCCTATCTCTCTCTCTCTCTCTCTCTCTCTCTCTCTCTATTCTTTACAGAAAGTATAACCATCAAATGCTTTTGTTATGAGGGACCAGACTTTCATGCCAACGTAGGAGAGAGAAATCAAGTGTAGTAGGTGGGTTCTTCGATTCTTTCTTCAGTTTCATGTAGATGATTTCATTGTCTTCGATCTTTTCTCATGTCTGATATACTCCTGAGCTAGTTTTGGCCTTTTCGGCTGATGTGTGTTTTTTTTCTCTTTTCTTTTTCTTCTCTCTATATAAAGTCGGCATGCATACTGTTCCTTTAGCCCTTTTGAATTTGCAGCTGATGGCATGAAATGGGTTGACTTGATAGTTTAGGTTTTGGTGGTTTGTTCTTCTTCATGACAGAGAATGTACAAAAATCAGCTGCAAGAACTTGCTCAGAGGAGTTGTTTCAACCTCCCTTCTTATGCCTGCGTCAGAGAAGGGCTTGATCATGCTCCTAGATTCAAAGCTTCTGTCAACTTCAATGGCGAAATCTTCCAATGCCCCACTTACTACACCACCTTAAGGCAGGCCGAGCACGCAGCTGCCGAAGTTGCTCTCTCTGTTCTCTCCACTAGAGGCCCTTCAAGGTCGCTCACTACAAGAGTTCTTGTAAGTAACACCCCAACAAACATTACCCACTTTAATTTCATTACCAGTAGTTTAATAATGCTCTGTTCAAATCTTGAATTTGTAGACATTTTTTTTTTTTATATACATTTAAGAATACCCATTATAAGTTTTTAAGAGTTTGTTTTGGAATTTGTGTGGGTTATTATGAACACAAAGGATGAGACTGGGGTGTACAAGAATCTTCTTCAAGAAACTGCTCACAGAGGGGGTCTGAAGCTCCCTGTCTACACCACTGTAAGATCAGGTCCTGGCCATGCCCCTGCTTTCACTTCTACTGTGGAAATTGCTGGTTTGAATTACACCGGCGACTCGGCCAAGACAAAGAAACAAGCTGAGAAGAATGCTGCAATAGTTGCCTGGGCTGCTCTGAAAAAATGTATACTCTCTTTTTAATGTGTATTTCTTTTTTCTTTTCTTTTTTTTGAAGATTTTTTACTGTAATTTGGTATTTGGGTTTTTATCATGAATTCGCTTCCTTGCAGTGCCAAACTTTGGTTCATTAAGCAATTGTCAAGATGGAAGCAAACAAGTTAGGTGGGATCAGAACCAAACAAGAAGAAGAATGGTGAGGGGTCAGAGTCATAGAGACAATGGTTCCAATTATTCTTTACAGTATCAACAATGGAGATCCTTGGATCTACTATTGGATTCCGCCTCAGAAATTTTAACACAAAAACAGAGCATCTTGGCCTCTCTTCTCTCTCCACCCCTTCCCAAAACAACTTCAAAACTCCTACCATCTGCCTCATCTGGAGATGTTCCTCTCCTCTCTTCTACAACTAGGCCTAACCCAATTCAAGTTCAAATCCAAGAGGTTTCCCCACAGTTTGAAGAGAATAAGAGGGATGAGAAAGAATGGATTAGCAGGAAGTTAGATGTCATCGAGAGTTCCCTTGCAGATTCAAGTTACAGTCCAATTCCATTGAAGTTTAGCAGTCCTGTGAGTTCAATGTTTGATCACAACACCCCAAATGATCAAACCCATATCAGAAACAGACTTTTTGGATCTGCAACTCCATCTCCAAGAGCTTTCTCACCCATCAAAACTTCTTCTTCAATGTGTAGCCACATGCGAAGGACTATCTACAATGGTGGATGCAACCCACAGAAGATTGCTCCGGCGGTTCAAATCAGGTCGGTGATCCCAGTATGTGCAGCGCCACCACTACCAGTGAGACCCACGCCACCAAACCCACCATCAGTGAAACAAGTTGCTTCATCATCAGCTACTTCAATGTCCAAAAATGTAGGAGCAGTGGTTTCATCAGCCAACCCAATGTTCAACAACAATCCAGAGTCATACTCAACCCAATTCAGCTCTATGTTCAACAAGAAGTTACGGTTATGAAGAAAAAAGAATTTAAATTTTATTACTAGCATCTTGTTAAAGTACCACTTCAATTTCTGTTGTTAGTTAGTCAGTGTTATTGGCCTTGCGAAAATGAACCTCAGTCATGGGTCTTGGCCCTCTTGGGTAGTTGATCTACTACTCTCTAATCTCTATGGTGAAATTTTGCAATAGTAGATAGTAAAGCTCTTTTTTTTATATATATATATTTTTTTATGACATATGTATTTTCATAAATTTTCATTTTAATTTTTTTTTAATAATTAATAAGTGAAAAATAAGAAATTAGAAGCTACATAACTCAAAAACAGACATGCCTCTGATTGGGAAGAGGTTTTTTGAATTTTTTTTTGGCTAAAATAATTACAAAAAATAAAATAGGCTATTTTAGTCACAATAAACAAAACATTATATTTAATCCATAATCATTACACTTTTTTTTCATAAAAAAAAGTCAAAAAAATTAAAAAGTTAAAAAGTCCTTTCCAAATCAAATTTTTTAACCCAAATTAAAATAATTAAAAAAATTAAATAGTCAAAAAAATCCATCCACTTTGCAAACGAAACCATGCATCATCTGCTAGCCCATCAACCTTACAGAGATATAATTACTGGAGAGAGAGAGAGAGAGAGCCATTAATGGAGATATGAAGAGTTGGTTGGTGTGTTTTGCAGAGAGTGGAAATGAAGGAAGGAGGGGAGGGGCAAGGCAAGGGAAGCAGACAATTGCAGCGATAAACGCAACGCCATTAAAGTCATTGTCAGAAACAATTAATTGGTCCTGCCTTCACCATAAATGATCCCCCACCCCACCCCCGAATCCGGATCCTCCGTCGCCTTTTCCTGCGGCTCGACCCTGTCACCCTCCAAAACGACGTCGTTTTGGAGGGTTTTTTTTTCTTTTTTTCTTGTCTTCTTCTTTTTTCTCTCTCACGATAACTTTCTCTCTCTCACTGATAACTCTCTCTCTCTCTCTCTCTCTCTCTCCTCATTACAATCATCGACCCAAACCACCCTTCTTCGACACCCCATGCCCGTCCAACCCATGAAATCCATCGCCGCCGTCGCCATCTAATTCCCAGTCTGACTTGTATACCAGAAGAGACTGCTGTCTGTGGGGAAGTGATTTTTCGATTTTCTTCTTTGATCCATCTAAAGAAGCCAATCTTGATGAAAATCGCCTCACGGATAGCAATGTGCATCCAAATCCAATTGCTTTTTCCCCATTTAAGTCTTATACTGGCTAAGAAGTGTTCTCACTCCCCTCTTTGATTCAAAGTTGAAAACTGGCTGATAGATCAAGAGATAGGAGTGAAAAAACTTAATCCATTTAAGTAATTTTCCCCAAAATATATGTAAAACAAAGATTAAAAATTTTGTTTATCAAACTAATACATGTTCTTAGTCATATCATACTCAAACTATGAGCTAAGCTATTCATGGATATGCAAGAATAAAGGATATGTGTACATTTTATTCAAAATGGAAAACAACTAATTAAGAACAAATACTCTGATTTTGGAGTGGAAAACAGATAGTTAATAACAAATATTCTGATTTCGGAGTGGCAAACAAATAATTAAGAACAATTATTTTGATTTCAGAGGCTTCAGAAGAAAGTGCATGTGATTTGAGGAGAAACAGGGGAAAGAAAACCACACAGAATTTTAGTAAATCCTCTGTTTTTCCAAGCAAGCTTTTAATAATAATAAAAACATATTAAAAATGAGAGAAGATAAGTACTTGAAGAAGAAGAAGATGAAGGAGGTGAGGTGGGTTTGACACGGCGGTGCTTGGCGGTGAGGCGACTAGAGCACAGACAGATTCTGGGTTTTGCTCTTAGTGGATTTTGTTGATTTGTTTTTGGTTTAGATTTGAAATTGGTTGAGAGTTTCCAATTTCTCAGAAATTGGTTCAGATTTGAAATTTGATTTTTTTTTACAGATTTACTCACAGATCTGTATTGAAAATATCAATTTAAAAAAAAAAAACGGAAATGAAATGTTGAGGGGAATTATTTTGAAAAAAATAAATTAGGAGGAAATAAAACCGAGAAACAAGCGTACTGGTATGTTTTTCACCACAAAATTTTCATGAAATGTTTTTGATTCAATTCGGCTTCATCACAGTGAAAAGAAGAAGAAAAAAAAAAGAAAGAAAGGAAGCTCCAAAAGCTTAGATCCGTTCAGATGAAATGCCAAATTTTTCATTGAATCTTTGTTTTATGTGAAATAATCAATTAAGTGTTTTGAGGGAGAGAGAGAGAGAGTTATCAGTGAAAAGAAGAAGAAGTTTCTGGTTCAGTTCGGCTTCATCACAGTGAGAAGAAGAAGAAGAAAAAAAAAATAGGAACCTCTAAAAGCTTAGATCCGTTCAGATGAAATGCCAAAATTTTCATCGAATCTTTGTTTTGTGTGAAATAATCAATTAAGTGTTTTGAGGGAGGGAGAGAGAGAGTTATCAGTGAGAAGAAGAACAAGTTTTTGGTTCAGTTCGGCTTCATTACAGTGAGAAGAAGAAGACAAGAAAAAAGAAAAAAGAAAAAAAAAACCTCCAAAACGACGTCGTTTTGGAGGGCGACAGGGTTGGACCGCAGGAAAAGGCGACGGAGGATCCGGATTCCCCCACCCCCACTCTCATCCCATCTCATTGCGAGAAACAGAGAAAAATAGGAGAGGTGAGGACTTGTTTTCTTGGTATTTTGATTCTTCCCACTTCGAAATTCAATTATCTATTATTAGTTTTAGTCCAACATCAACTGTGAATGTGTGTGTGTGTGTGTGTGTGTGAGATGCGATGCGAGTGGTACACTCCATACACTGCTCCTCGTGATGACAAGTTGCTCCCAATATTCAATTCAAAACGCTTTAACAATGCCATTGTAGCCTTACAACCATTTATCTTATGCATGCGTTGACTTACAGTATTATTTGATGTGAGACTACTAATATGGAACGAAATTGAGATGACAACTAAATATTGTTTCCTGTCAATTTTGATTTTAACATATTATTTTGACAATACGAGTGTGGTTTCCTAACAAGTATATCATATTTTTTTTTTTTTTGAGAAATTATAAATATATTTCTTGAGATTTATTTAAAATACGAATTATTCTTTACAATTTGAAAAATTACAAATAACTCTCTGTCAAAATTTTTTATTTAACAGAATTAATTGAAAAAGTAATATTTCTAACTGTTCACTTATACAATAATAAAGTTATCTGAATTATTAATTAAAATAAAATTTTAACATTATTAAAAACTGTTAATTAACTTGATGATTTATTAATAAAATGACCTATTTATTATGAACCTTGGGAGTGTATAATGTAATTTCTAAAATCATAAGAGATAATTTGTAATTTAAATAAATCTCAGAATGTGTGTTTATAATTTACTTTTTTTTTTTTTTTCAAACTCAATTGGTTTGTAATCATATTTTTGAAACTAATTTGGTAAAATAGTGTAAAAACAATTTAAAATCATGTTTTCAAAATCAAGTTCTAGACCAGCGCCAACTAAAGTCATCGTATTTTTTATTACCTAAACACAATAGTGATGGATCCACACCCACATCACTGAGTATAACAAGAAAATTACAATAGTTTAATTGATGTCCATAACCAACCTCTTTGGAAAAACAGGACTTCCCCAAATAAAATTTTGAAAACACTGAAGCCCAAATTTTAGAGACCAACAACAATACTTATCCCACCTTAAAAAATAATAACAAAGACAAATCACTACCTGCAATCCAAACAACCTGGACCCGTTTAGCCCAACTACCCCGACTCTGAGGGAGTTGGGACTACCGGCTTGTATATATCCTTTTTAGTTAGGGCATCAGCATCAGAATCTTTAAATTAATAAAAAGTTAAAATATAAATAACAAATCATCAAATTTTTCTTCCATCAATCTTAGTAAATTTTTGTTAAATTAATTTTTTGTTAAATTTATTACAGTAACTCGTTTCATCAAACAAGGAACTGTTCATCGCTAAAACACGCGATTTGGGTGTGATGGGATGTCCGTCCAGACGTCTGGCCGGTCAACCGGTCAACGGCAATTTTCTTTTTTTTACATTTCCTCAAGTTTTATCTTTTGTATAACATAACAATTGTTTGGTTGATAGGTCATCAATTTAATTATAAAAAAAAAAGAATAACAAATATTATAATAAGATTGAGTTAAAATAGAGAGTTTGATGCAGTGGGTGACTAGTTAAAATATGAAAATGACTTTTTCAGTTATAATTTGACTGAAAATTTGCTGAGGCTGATGCGAATGCTCTTAGGCCATTTCGTTGGAAAAAACCCAAAATTGAAGCATCGGTTCCTATTTGGTTGTCTTTTAATTTGTGGATTAAATTTGGTGGGATAAAATATTCTGACATTGGTAAGTATTAATTTTTGAATAATATTATATGTATCAATTAATATATAAATTAGTATATTATTAAATGATATGACATAATTTAAAAAGTTTTAAATATTTATAATTTGTTTACTAGGTGGGGTCATAATTTTAAAATAGTATTTTTCATATATATATTAGGAATGGCAACGGGGCGGGACGGGGCGGGGCCAAGGATCACAGTCCCCGTCCCCGATCCCCGACGGTGAAAATCCCTCCGTCCCCGGCCCCGATCCTTGACGGGGACCCTAAATCCACCCCCACCTCCGCCCCCTAACGGGGATCGGGCTTCCCCGACCCCGAAAATTCCCCGGACAAAAAAAAAAATAGATCCAACCCATTAACAGATCTGATGAGATGAGCTCAAAAAAAAATAAAAAAAATAAAAAAAAATCAGATCTAACAGATCTGTTCTTCATCATCATCATCATCATCATCATCAACAACAGCAACAACAACAACATAAACATAGAAAGAGAGGGATCTATTCATCAACAACAACAAAAAAAAAAAAATAGATCCAACCCATTAACAGATCTGATGAGATGAGCTCAAAAAAAAATAAAAATAAAAATAAAAAAATCAGATCTAACAGATCTGTTCTTCATCATCATCATCATCATCATCATCAACAACAGCAACAACAACAACATAAACATAGAAAGAGAGGGATCTATTCATCAACAACAACAACATAGAGAAAGAGACATATATCTGAATTTGATGCTCAAATATACTATATATATATACATATATTATATGTATAACAAATAGAGAGAGAGA